CGGCCCGGGCCGCCGTGCGCCGACTCCCCGGCGGGGGCGCGGGCCTCCGCCCGGGACCGGGCCCCGCTGGGCGCCGCCGCCGCACGAGCGCCCCTGCCCCCCGAGGGCTCCGCCATGGTGTCCGTCACGATGGGTAAGCCCGGCCCGGCCCGGCCCGCCTCGCCGCGCCGCCGAGCGCGCCCTTCCCGGCCGGCGTCCCCGGGGCGGGCGGGGCCCCCGCGTCTCACCCTCGCTGCTTGCCTTCCAGCCACGTCGGAATGGATCCAGTTCTTCAAAGAAGCCGGGATCCCCCCCGGGCCAGCCGTCAATTACGCCGTCATGTTCGTGGATAACCGGTGAGGGAGCCTTGGGGGGCGCGTGGCCCCTGTGCGCCCGTCGCCGCACCGGAAAGCAGCGGGCTCCCCTCGAAAGCGGAGCCTGGACCCGCTCCGGGAGCGAACCGGCTGCCGCGCGTTTTGTGCCACTGGCGGAGCACCGGAGCCGCGCGCCGCCTTCGGTTGTGCCTGTCAAGGAAGCCCGGCTGCGCGTGCCCCTTTCGCGGTCGGGCGGGGGACGGGCGGCCACGGCGCGGGATGTGCTGGTGCACCGAGACTCCCTGTGTGCAGCTTAGAGATGCTGGCGATTTGTTTCTTAAAAGGCAAAACGGTGCACCTTATTTCTTTCAGCATAATTATTCAGATGTTTGGTTTTTGGAGGGAAAAGTCTTTAGACGTCCTCTGTTCCTTAGCATGAATATCCAAAAAATATTCTTAAACAACGTTGAAACTAAAAGTCTGTACTAAAATCATAAAGCTGAGTTTGTGTAACCACATGGAGAGAAATTGATGGCTGACATCTTTTCCACTCTGAAGCCTTTTGATCGGTTGGTGACCTCTTGGCACGGGGGGGGGGGGGCCTTTCAGTGCCTGAATGCTGCTTCCTTCCTTCCCCCAATGCCCCCCCCCCGCCACAAATGAATGACTGCCTGGCATGGTCTTCTGTGTGTCGGGGGCAACACACCCTTTTCACACAGTTTGGGGACCGTGAGGTGTAGCGTGTGGCTTTGTCTCATGCAGGATCCAGAAGAGCATGCTGATGGACCTCACCAAGGAAGTCATGAACGAGCTGGGCATCACCATCGTCGGGGACATCATTGCGATCCTCAAACACGCCAAAGTGGTGTACCGGCAGGTGGGGCCTCGTGGAGCAGCTCCTTGCACTTTTTTCCATATGCTAGCCCAAACTTGGGGTGACCTCTAAAATGTGGCCGGGCTTCTGGCTTTCTGGGCAGGATCTTTCGATTGCACAAGGCAAATAGATCCGTCATGTGGAGAGGTGAGTGGGGGGCAGCCAGACCTCTGCTTCAGCAGCTCTGAGTGCCTGGTGCCCCTGTGGGCAACAGACTGTCCCTGGCCCAGCCCCATAGTCCAGGGGGTTCAGTCTTCTCTCTTGATTTAGCACAAAACCCGAGGCAAAGGCCTTGGCACGGGTTGTACAGTGGGATGCTTGGCGGATGTGAAGGACGAGAGAGGAGCAGGTAGCCCCAGTGCCCCTGGTGACTAAACCAGCCGCCCTCAGGAGGAGCTGCGGCTCTCAGGCGGGCCTGCTTGGGCATTCCTGCTTCATGGCCCCAGGATTAACCTGTTAGTTTGGTACACGTCTTCAACCCGATGGGCGTCTGTGGTCCTGCCGTACTCCTTGATGCGTCGGTGGGAAGGTAAATGGCCAGAAAGAGGGAATGATCCCTGTTGGTTTGTCACCGTTGTGTTCGATCTCTTCTCTAGGACGTGTGCAAGGCTGCAACGGAGTCGGTGGCATCCAGCCAAACCACGCTGCAGTCTGAGCTCCGCCGGAACGCCAGCAGTGGTGAGCGGGGGCAGTGGCCGAGGGGAGAGGCTGGGCCCTTCCTTCGTGCCAGTGGACCCTTACGGAGCGCTTCCACTCACAACTGACGCTGTGCTGCTAACACATTCCGTTGCTTTGTAATTATTCCCATCCTGCGGGGTAGCTCTTCAGTGAGCGCGTTCCCATTTTCCATGGGAACAGTGTGTTGTGAGTGGCCCTGGGGCCAGAGTGGCAGTGGGGGCGAGGCTGCTGCTGGGCTGGTGGGTGTGCGGTGGTGCTTGAGTAGGAAGGCACTCATAATTCCCCCGCTGAGGTGGCTGCCAGGAGCAGGGCCTTTTCCGCAGTGGCTCTGCAGCTGCTTGGTGCCGAATGTGATATTTTTAAGGTATGGGTGAGAACGTCCTTGTTCTGAAATGGTTTTATTAATCGAAAGCATTTTACCTGGCTCTTCAGCTGAAAGGCTGTTCAGGGTGGCTTGCAGCTTACTGAAGAAAAGGATGGCCCCTGCCCGCAAGCTTACAATCTGACGGTTTAGACAGCTTTTCAAGCACCAGCTGTAGTAGTTGCTGCTCTTCCATTTACTTATGAAAATAAATATGATTTTCACCTGCAGTACTAGAATGGTATAGCTGAAAGGGGCCAGAGGGTGCAAATCCCCGCTCAGGTCTCCCAATTCAATGGACCCCTCGGATGGCTGTCCAGTTGCAAGGCTTAATTGTAAGATCTGTAGGGTCTGTTTTATTACAGAATGTGCCATTTTGTACTTGAAACATTTTTCTAAATGTCAGTTCACTGTGTGGTAAAGCATTTTGTTTGCTCTTGTAAAAGACAAGGTAGCTGTACCATGAAACGTTTTTGATACGTTTCCGTTGTTTTTTATATTCTGTAGATCAGCTGCCTCTGTTGTATTGAGAGTGGAATAAAGCCATGCCGGAACAGATGAACCTGCCCCCTCGGGGCCAGCGTGCTTCTGCTTACTGGCTTTCTGTCTCTTTGTAGCTGCTACGCGAATGATCGCAAACAGCCTGAGCCGAGACTCTCCGCCTTCCACCCCCGTCCGGAGACCTGACGCGGGCACCGCCAAAATCTCCATCACGGTGTCCAACAAAATGGCAGCCAAGAATGCCAAAGCAGGTGACTCCGAACGCGCCTTGCTGTCAGGGCCCGGGCGGGCCTGATCCTGTTGCTAGACTTTGCCTCTGCCCTCGCCGTGCCGCCTGGGACGTGGCCAAGCTTGGGCGCTTTAGGATCCCTCTTGAGCGTGTGCTTGCTTCATCTCTGGGATGTGAGAATGAGGGACTGACTCCTGGGGCTCCCTCCATTTCCGAGTTACCGATCAGGAAAATTGGCATTCCTTTTGCCAGCTCCTGCAATTGGAGAGGAGGGAACCGAATCCTTGCGAGAGGAAGGGTGGCAAGCGGTTGAGTGAGAGCTTGCGTGGCTTGGACCGAGCCGCTCCTCTGCCTCGCTCTTACATCTGCGAAGAGGGGATCTGAGCAGCCTGCTTTGCAGAATCATCAGAAAAGCATAGGAGCGGAGAGGCAAAAGCACTATGAATATCGAGCAAGGACTGGTCTTTTAAAATATTTTGAATGCTTTTAATGGAAAAGATGTAGAGCAAGATGCCCAGCATAGGACGCGTGCCGCTTGGTGCAGTGGCGCAGTCGCTCGGGAGTGACCTGGGGCCTTGAGGTAGGATCTGGGCTGCCCAGGACGCTTCGGTTCTCGATCCAAGACCAGACACCGTCTCTGACCCAGCACCCCCCACCCACCCCGTGGCCAGGGCAGGAAGCATTGCGCCAGCCGGTCTCTGGGTTGGGGAAGCCACCTTGGCGAGGGAGGGAAAAGAGCCACTTTGAGGGCCAAGGCTGGGGGAGGCGGACTCTCCTTGGGCTGCCCTGCCTCTCTTTCTGGCCCTTTGAACGTCTGTCACGCGGACGACCACAGAGGGTGGGGAGATGGGTGGCGCAAATAGCACCTCTGGCTCCAAGTCTGTTTTGCAAAGGGTGCCGTTGTGCCTATCCGGGAAAAGCTAACCAGCGTGAGTAAACGCCCCTGCTTCAATTCCACGCACACCGGAAGGAGCAGCTCCCTTCCACGTGCTTAATGATGTGGCTCTTTGCTCCACTCCAGTTCCCAAGTCGTCGTCGTTGCTCAACTTTGGTCTGTTACATAGTTTGAATATCTTGCATGGCCTAGTTGCATTTTTAGTTTTTGTGTACTTTGGTTGATGCTTTAAGTGCATAGGTTTGCAATGTTGTAAGCTGCCTTGATTCCTAGTTCTGGGGAGAGGTGGGATAGAAACGAGGAGGAGGGTAATCTTTTCTCTTGGATTCTTTTGCAGCTGCAGCTCTCTGTAGTTCCAGGGCTGAAAATTCCACAGTTCCGGTGAAGAGGCGCCGTGTCACAGCCGAGATGGAAGGGAAGTACATAGTCCACATGCCGAAAGGAACCACGCCCAAGACCAAGAAGATCCTGGAGCAGCAGGCGGCAAAAGGTCCCTTGTGAATGCCAGAGGGAAGGGGCAGAGGGGCAATGTGGGCAGGGGCTGGGGCGGCTTTCCGGAGAAACAGAACCGTGGCCACAGCGGCTCCGCCCTTGAAGTGAAGCCTTCATGCCTGCAGGGGAAGAGGCCCGCTTAGCCGGCCCAAGTATTGCTGCAGTGGGTTACCTGGAGCGAGGGGTGACCTCCTTTTTTTAAGGTCGGCCTCACAAAGCCTTTTACTGGCCTCAGGATTTAAATCGCTAAGCTTTCTAGCACGCTTTTGAAATGTTTGCAGAGAAGCAACAGGACAATCGTGCAGTAACTGCTACCTTCTCTGAAGGATTTGTCCTGCACCCCAGGTCCCCTGCAAGCTCACGTGCTCAGTCATAGCCGGCGCAGCCTCGTTTGCTTTGCCCGTCGAAAAAGAGCCAGTGCTTTTCATTTGCTAAGTCCTGTGCTGTGCTCAGGCTTATCTTGAAAACGAGCCCATCCCTCCGGGGAGATCCCAGTTCTTCTTCCTGTGTGTGGCTGATTTTTCTGGCCAGAAGTAACATACACACACGCGCTCAATGTGGCTGCTTGTGTGTTGTGGCATGTGGCAAGGCGTGGCGCTCAGGTCAGAGAGGGAAAAATGGGCCTGGCGCAGCATCATTTCCCCCCAGTTCTGGATGCTGCGCCAAGCTTTCGTGAGAAGAGGTACCTTGGCCTGATAGAGGCGTTTGGCTCCATGGCTTCTTTGGAAACCCAGGCACCGTCCTCACTTTGCTTAGTGGATTTATGGAAATCCTCACGTCGGGGTTTGTGTTTCCCGCTCCATGTTCAACGACAGGTTTGCAGAGAACCTCTGTATTTGACCGGCTTGGAGCAGAGACAAGTGTTGACGCCACAGCTGGAAGCAAGGTAAGACGGGGCGACCGCGCCTCCTTGTTCTCTGGGGCAGTCCTGAGCCGAACCTTCCGCCTTCCGTCCCGCCTTCAAATGGGGCCAGTGGAAGAGGCGAGGCGGAAGTGGGGGTTTCAGCCACCTCCTCTGGCCAAGTGCGGCATGTCCCCTCACCTTTGCGCCAAGCGGGGCGCTCTGCCTCCCGGGCTGGGACTGTCGGCCAGGCCGGCTCCTCTGGACGGTGGGGATAGTGACTGCGCGGCGTCCCTTCCTGGCTGCCCCTCCCCTCCCCTCCCGCGGCAGGCGGCTGGGCCGGGCCGTTCGCCTCCTGCCGGGGGCTGCAGTGGCCCAGTGGCCCTGCGTGGCAGCCGCCGATGTTCCCCCTCAGGCAGTGGCTGTGGCGCTCGGCTGGCATCGTATGGGGAGCACTAGTGCGGTCACAGCCCCCAGGCACAGCGGCTGCCCACCCACAGGAGACCCCAGGGCGCCTCTGCAGAAAGGTTGATTTGGGCCGCGGTGGAAAGCGCAGCGCCCGCTGACCTGCGCCAGTGTCATGTCAGCCCACAGGAGTGTTCAGCCGCTTGGGGGACACGCAGGAGGCCGCGGAGGACAAGGCAGCCGAGAGCGACGACGACGACCGCTCTGTCCTGCAGTATGCCGGGGTGCTGAAGAAGTTCTTCAGGCCCCCCAAGGCCAAGGAGAGCAGCAAAGCTGGGGCAACGATCCGGGCAAAAGCAACCAGCTCGGGGCCACTGTTGGCGGCGGTGGCGGCGGCGGCCCCCTCGCCCGTCCAGCGGCTGGGGAGCAAGAGTGCGCCCGGCCCTGGGACCCCCGCCAAAGAAAAGAAGCCGCTGCCCCCACAGGGCAGTGCTGCCAAGGGACTGGGCAAGCGCCCCCTGCCCGCAGAGGCCCCGGACAGCAGCTCCAGCAGCTCCCGGGGCAAGCCGGACTCGGCGCTCCGGGTCACCATCAAGAGGACTTTGGGGAGTGCCAAGGTGAGCAGCAGCACGGAGGCCCCCAGTGCGCAGATGGACATCACGGGGACGGTCAGCGTCTTCAAGAGGCTGGGCAGAAAGGCCGTGTGAGCCCGGCCCGGAGTGTCCTTCGCGAGCATTCGGAGGCCCCCTCTGGCAGGGCTCTCGACACAACGCGAACTCGGTGTGTGTTTTGACTCTCCCCTCCCGTCCTGCGAGACGCACGGCTGCTCGGTCTTGGCGAGGACGGCTTCCGTGAAGCGCCTGGAGGCTCTCCCAGCGGCCTGCAGGCCTCCTCTGCATGCCGAGCTGGGGTTCTTGAATGACTTGTAGTCACATCGAGGCGGTAACCTCTGGGTCCGGTGGGGCGGCCCGAGACTGAGCAAGGCCCGGAAAGGGGGTGCGAGGGAGGGACCGCGGGGGCAAAGCAAGGGGCCCGGGGATCCCTGCAGGCCTTCCGAGCAGCTGGGCAGAGCACTGGACGTGCCGTCTGCCATTTCCTCTGCAGGCCCTTGCTCTTCCCTAGACACTCGTGTCTTGGAGTGGCAGACGGGCGCTGGGCTTGGGGGATGGAGGAGGTCCCCCCCCCCCCCCCCCCCCTTTTATCCCGTGTGTCCTGGAGTAACGATGGCAATGGGGCAGTTCCCAGAAAGTCCTCTTGCTGGATACGAGGAATTCTGGTGCTTCGCTGCTGGTGCCAGTTCTGTTTGGCTAGCTGGGAAGTTGCTTCTTGTCCCGGCCTGGCTGTTACGTGCCCCAGAGGGCACGCTGGCCGGGGGGCCTGGCTTCACGTGCCGGAACCCCTCTGGATCGGCTCCATTTCTCCTGTCCAGGCTTATCAAGTCTGGTGCTCAGTCAGGGTCAAAAACGGCTGCTCCCCTCCTTTCCCACCCATATTCTTTCTCCAATCTGGTTCAGTTTTCCTTCGATCAAAGCAGAAACGATTAGATTAGAAAGTGATCAGCTTGTCTTGAAGCCCCTTGAGAAGGAAGAGCCCCCAGCCCACAAATGGGGGCAGCTTTTATGCCTCTGGGTTTCCAGTAGCACATGCAGAACACGGTGGCTGGGATTTCAGGAACTGGGTCGGTGGGTTCTGCTAAGCCACTCGGCAGCCAGGTATCAAAGAGGGCCCCGCACCCCGGCTGCCCTGATGCGTCAAGCCATACGCTGCTGGGGCTTGCAGTGGAGCTGTGCGCTCGGGTGCTTCGTTCTTCCCGTACCTCAGGCCTGGTGGGCACTGGCCAACTCCTGCCATTGGAGCAGAGCTGGGAAGGGTCGCGTGGGGCAGGCAGCCTGGAGGGGCCGCTCTCCCCACACTCCTCCCCGGTTGAGCCGCTTCCATGAGCCTGGTGCCCGTTTCCATGGAGCCTCCTGCTTGCAGGGGCCGGACACCCATGGAGAACCGCTTTGCATGGGGCCGTGAGACGGGGCCGAGCTCCCTGCCCGGTCTCCTGCCCCGCACTCCTGTGTGGGGGGTCTTTGGTGCTCCGGTCGCCAGGCTGCTGCCACGTCTCTTGGGCCACCGCCCACATGACGTGCCCGCGTGCACACGTTGCGCGAATGGAGCCTAGCGTGCTGAGGGAAGGGGTGGTGGGAGGGGGGGAGACGCGTCTTGGCTCAGAAGACCCTCCCGGCCGATTTCTGCGCGTCCTGTAACCGCAGCCCTTTTCAGGCAAGCGTTCAGGCAGAGTCGGGGATGTGGCAGGGGAAAGAGGCTTTGGACTGGGAAGGGCCACGTTGCTGAGGCGCCAGTGAGCTTGCCCAGCGAGCTGAGAGGGTCAGGTGTGTGATGCAAGTGCGCTAGAAGCTCTTGCCACACCTGAATGTGGCGCTTTTCCTGAAAGCTGCTGAATCCAGCTTGCTTGTACGCTTTGTCTCGTTTCTGGAAGACCAACAATGCCTCCTGCGTGTTCAGGCCCCCACGGGCCACCTGAGGTCTCACCTTGGAAGCCTCTCTAGCCTGGCTGTGGGAGCCAGGTGCGCAGCCACCCCCCTGTGGGCACTGGAAGTGGGGGCAGCCACCCCGCCCCCACCGGGGGAAAGGGAAACTGCCTTTTTTGTAGAGGTGGCCGAGAAGATGGGCCAGGCGTGCAGCCGGTGTAACTCTCAGGGCAGTGTGGGCTGGCCACGCCTGTGAGGGCACCCGTTTCCTAGTACCCCCTGCTTCACTCGACTGATGCACTGGAGCCTGCTGTGCCCTCCGGGGGGGTCCCTCCTGCGCTCTCAGCAGGCCTCTCCTTCCCACACCCTGCCGTGCCTTCCCGCCTGTTCTGTTCCAAATTGGGCATTTGCTGCCACAGGGAGAATTCTGCCCTAAACGGAATGTGTTTCTTTTGCCCTTCTTTGAAGTGTTTTATTGATTGAGTGCAGGGGAGCTGGAAGAATGACGCAATAATTAATGGTTTTTATGTTTTTAAAATCCCCTCCTATATCTAAGTTAAGATAGTGTGAATGTAGCCTCGCATTTTGTAGCTGGCTGTGTGGAGCTGGGTGGGACGGTGCTCCTTACTGTTCTCTTGACTGCCGGGGCCCTCCTGCTTCTGGAAGGTGTGAGCACCCTTTTGCAATAAAGTGTGTTTCCTCTTAGCCTGTGCTCAGCTCGAGCATCTCTTGCACTGCTGACCGGGGGGGGGGGCCCCTCTTTGCCTTATGCAGGGCCCGGGGGGGGGGGGGGGCAGTATCCCGGGCATAGCACACAGCCACTGCTTCTGCTGGAACTGGCAAAGAAGCGTGGACCCCATACATTTCCATTCACACAAAATATGGTTGTAAGTTGGATCTGACTATTGCAGGAGGGTCCATTAAGCATTTGTGGGTGGCCAGGAGTCCCCCTTAAAAGAGGCACAGTGGTCCTTTGGGCATGAGCAAGCACAGAGGCGGGCTCAGAGAGAACCTCTCGGATACTGGCTTTAATTACCCGCCCGTTGCTCCGTCTGCCTCCTCCGGGTTCAACACGCCACATAGAAGGCACCCTCCCGCTTAAAGCATTAAGGCAGCGACCGGATGGGAAGCTGCCTGAGGAGCAGAAAGCCCTCTGAATGCTGCCTGGAGCGCCTTGGAGTAGAACATGTGTGGTGCATGTTTAAATTCTATGAATGGTACTGCTCATAATGTAGATACCCGCGTCCTTGGAAGAACCGGGGCGCGGTGGGAGGGGCCCGGCGTGCGGCCCGGCCTGGATTCGGGGGCAGCGCGCAGCCGGGCTGGGAATGCCGATCCCGGCCCACCTTCGCCCGAGGCCTCGGGGAGCCGCCCCCGGAGCAGCCAAGTACTTGGGCTTGTCAGCAGCCAGCAAACGGGGAGAGACCGGAGAAGCGCAGCGGGGGAAGCGGCTGGAGGAGCCCCCTTTCGGGGAAGGGCCCATCAGGACTCCGAGGCGGCCGCGCGGGCCCTTCGCGCCCTGCCGCAACTCTCCGCCCTCGGCGGGCCGCTGCTGGCGGCAGAGCTGCGCGGGCGGTTCGCTTCCGCGGGAGGCCGAGCCCGGCCTGGCGGTCCGGCGGGAACGCGGCGCGGCGGCGCGGCCTCGAGGCCCGGGAGGGCCCGGCCAGCTGCGCGGCCACTCGCCGCTTCC